GTTGCCTAGGCAACTTTGCTACCAGTGTAATTCCTCTGCTGCAACAAATCTGTCCCAGGCCACATTCCTACACATCATTCCTTGCCATGCTTAAGGCTCCTCTTTGAAGTCACCCCCCTCCCTCAGCATACTGTGTCACAGCTACTTTGTTCTTTATGTTCATTAGACCTTGCCAGAGATGAGCAGCACATGCAGTTCAGATTCAAGGACCTGTGAAGTTCAAATAGTAGGAAAAGAAGCTAAGTCCAAGCAGAAGGCTCAGTCTTAAAGACCCCAGGGAATGCTCTGTTTCAGACAGGATGCTCACTAGGTGTCACTGTTCTCCAGAAATAAACGTGTGAGCACTTTTTTCTGGCTGCAAATATACTGGGTCTTTATCCAAGTGCAGCAACTCATATTTTCAGAAACTGTGCTCATCTAAAAAACTGCCATAGTTCAGCAAAAGGTTCTCTAAACTCCTTACTTCACTTGCACTGTCTGATTTTCCACTCACTAATCTCAGAGTAAACCAAGAACAACTTCTCTTAAATTTGAATAGTGGTCCTGGTTCCTGGCAACAGAGGAATCCTGACATTTTTCAGTCTTTTACCTAACCATACTTAATATAATATACGACTTTAGAAATGGAGTGATCTTAAAATGAACAATGCAGCCTTTTACACTGTATGGCTGCTTGTGTTCTTAACATTTTTTCACTCTGCAGATAAAGAAAATATTTTTGATGACACTTTTCTCCAAATACTTAATTCTGGGAACTCAATTTCCTATGTCTAAATTTTAAGTTAGTTTTCTTAGGCTTCTTATATGATGATTAGAGAATAACTGTGTCTCCTGCTGTGGTTCAGAAAGGAAGCACAGTTCACATGCTTCTGGAAAGAGCTTCTCTTTTCCCTGTGAGTAGATCAGCAGCTCAGAGGGAGATGGTTTTCTTTACCTGAGCACGATTAACGTTTGCCAGTGTGAGTGCCCCCAGACATACTAGAGTGCGTTGTATCCATGTATTTTAAATTAGAAATTATGCCATGAGCAAGAAAACAGGTAGGAAGAAGAGACAGATGAGTTACTAGAGAGGTAACAATCTGTAAAGAGGATAGTGTGGTGAATCAGTCTGTGTTAAACTAGGCTCTTTGGAAAATATTTCAGAGCATTGTATGTTTGCAAGCAGGCTACAGCATGGAGTCACTAATAATTGCCAGATTTGGCACTCCTTTCTTCACATTTGCTAAATCAATAAACATTGCAGAAAAAGGCCCAACCCACCAGTCACCCAAGTGTGTCCAGAACATCATTACTGCATAACAGCATGTTTCAACGTGGGGGGTCAGGCTGCTGACTTGCAGCAGTTAGCTTAGGTGCTCCAACTCGCCTCATGCAGAGCCTACTGCTCTCTAGTGACTCCTTTATTTTTTATATAGAGAAACTAGGCTGTGAATCGTCCTCAAGAGTGCAGTTCAACAGCATTTTAAGCTGATCTAAATCAGTGGTATGGCAAATCCCACCACCACCTCCAGCTGTACATTCCTGCTCTTTCCCCCTTGTAGGTGGTGAATTGGCTCTGTAAAAAAATCAATCCAGAAGAAAAAATCAGAGTACTTTTCTACCTTGGATAAGCTCCCTGAAGAGATGTGATGTTTGACCATACTGCTAGTGAAGGGGTGACTTGATAATGTGCCACCAGGATGACAGAAGACGACCCAAGTCATGATTTGGGTTTGCTCACTCTGCTGGGGTCCCTCCCCCTTAAGGAGATGCCTGAATCAGCCTGTGCCGAATGGCAGCTCCACTCTCACTCACAGAATCACAGAATGGTTCACATTGAAAGGGGCCTAAAAGATCATCCAGCCCCCCTGCCATGGGCAGGGACACCTTGCACTTGACCAGGTTGCTTAAATCCCCATCCAACCTGGCCTTGCAGACTCCTCTTCTTGCAGTCCTTCTCCCAAACACACCTCCTGAAAAGTAAAGCTTCCAGGGCGGATTCTGGCTCCTGGCTCTAATGAGGTAACAAGTCTTCAGCACAGCATGGAAAGAGTTTCTGTCAATGAAGAGAGGGTGGGAGGGGGTAGAGGGGTCACTCACATTCTCTTGTGGGCAAAATATTAAAGTGCAGCTAAGCTAAAAGAGCAGTGGTGCATATTTCTGAGTAGCTACAGCTTTCTCAGGTGCACCTTGGCTCCCACTTTGGTTACAAATTGGGAAGATCGCAAATGGCTTGGAGTTATTTATTTTTTTTTAGCCTCAGTTCTAACCCAAGACAGCTTGCACAGATCAAGGGACCTCTCTCTATATATTTTAAATTATGCAAAGCAATTAGTCTTCATTAACAGCTTGTCTAATTTAATTTCAAAAGATCAAACTGTTTCCTTGATAGATGACCAAAGTAAAAAAAAAACCAAAACAACCAAACAAAAAAACCAACCAAAAAAAACCCCTTCAAACTTGTGTGTGACTGCCAAGTGTATATATTAACTAAACTCTGGAGTCATTACTACTGACCTCAGCTTGTCATCTGCTCTCATTTTATCCACAAAATTCGTATCACTCTTGACACCATATCAGAACATTTCATGGATGATCTTTTGCACTGCAAAGTGCCAAGTACTATGGGAGACTGATGCTTTATTTCCCTAGAAGCAACTAGGAAAAGGGCAGAAATCAAAGCCTTTCAACTAGCCCATAGCATCAAGAGTCTTACATGAATTGAAATTCCTGTCATGTGGAATTTCTCAAAGAAATTCAGATATTTCATGGAAATTCCTTAAGATGAAGCTAATACAGCCATCTTTAAATAAACCAGTAGTTGTCAGATTTGGATTGGTGGGTGCCTTCACCTAGAAAACCTCTAGGTTTTCTCTGCAGGATGCTTGTTTCTAAAGTCACATATTCACAGTAACATTAATTGATAGGCTACAAGCAAACAATTCTCTACTCTTCTTATCCATGTCTGGGAGCCTATGCTACTTAAAGATACTCAGTCTAGGACTGTGTGTCTCCTTGGTTACCCTTCACTGCTGAGAAATAAATGCTAAATTCAGAGGTTTTGAAGGCCTGCAAGCATTTGTCAGAGACTTATAAAACTCTGTGGTCTGTGATGGAGATATTTATCCTTGCCTGCATTTAAGAAGGCTAAAAATCAAATAAATGCTGGGGTTTTTTTCCAAGTAAGCCGTTTATGGTTTCCCTGCTCTGATATCACTGTACTTATATAAAACTATATCTAATGAAATGGAAGGCATTCAATAAATAGGCATAAGAAGGGGTGGAAGGCAATATAGTTTCTGACTGTGGTTCACATTCAAAGGAAATGGATGGTCTTTATTATCTTACTCTTATTTGTTCTTAGATGGAAACTTTCTCATATTCAGGGGGCTGGAGAGTGCAGGAAATTTATAGAAATGTAAATTTGGGTCAAGATTTGCCAGAATTCATAGGACTGGAGCAGAGAATCAGGAAAAAAGGAAGTAAGACAGAAAGTAGGATGGTCTTGGAATGCCAGTTGGGATGTGAAGGTCATGATCTAAATCCCTTTGGTTTTCATCCCCATCAGGGATTTGATCCAAATTCTTCCAGGCAGTGCCCTGACCAAGGATATCTTTCCTCTCTTTTGCTGAAATAGATTCTTTCTGTAAAAATGCTGCACTTTTTCATGAGTGCATCTCTCCAGGCCCTCATTTGCAAAAAGAATATTTGATACTTTATTTTTTTATTCTTTTCAGTTCAACATAATAAAATACATAAATGGTGTGAGTATTGCAATTATGTTCCTTACCAGAGGTTTCTGTCCTTAGACTGCCTTTAATCAGACCTTTGTACACCTTGCTATTTCTAAACTTTTTTTTTATGAAAAGCTGAGGACTTAGTTGCTGTGTGAATAAGTAGCTGTTTAGCAGCCAAAGAGTTCCTGCTTGTTTTCAACTTGTCATCTAAGGTGCGGTTCAGAAAGTCGAGAGGTTGTTACTGGCGGAACCTTGACAAAAATATTGCTTCAAATATTTCATAAAACACATTATTGGAAAAAAAACCAAAAACAAAGATCACTGAATTAGCGAAAACTGTAGATATAGGGCCTTTAAGGCTTCATGGTCTTCTTGTATTCAGATGACACCATGCACAAGAGGTGATTTTTCCCACACTAGTTCTTGGGAAACAGTCTAGCTATGGAGCTTGACCCACGAAACACAAAGAATTTACCAGCTCTTCTGAATGAGGTCATATCAGCATGAGGGGCAAGGGGGAAGAGAGATAATTTTTTGGCCAACCAGGTAATCCAAATGTCATATAAGGAGTTTGATGATCGTGTTTCCTCTGCTATGAATGTATGAAAATATGTACTGCTAAATGACCCTTTTGGCCATAGCTAGACTACATTAAATGTCAAAGGAGCTTCTTATTCTCCTGCTCTGACTATAGAGAGAGTGTGAAACAGCCATTTTCTTCACTTGGATTCTCTGTCAGATGAGAATCTACACCACATTAGCTGCCCCAAAGTACTTGTAAAACAACAAGTTCAAAGGGAGTCTTTCCCTGTAAAGCTTTCTCGATCTGTTCCATTTTATTTTAATAATGGAAGATTTTAAATGGAAGATTTTGAAATAGACTAATTTACTAGAATTCATCTGAAAAGAGTAAGTTTGACAGACTAAATTAGTTTCTGAATATTGGCTTTGGGTCTTCTGATGAATTTCCCATCTAAAAATTGTGGTAGTACTTCACAAAATATTTCTTTCACAAAAAGATTTCCTTTTTTTCCAGTAAATCAATGCAAATGATTGCTGAATAAGTTCCATTGGCATTTCCATTTTATTATAAAAATATTCACCCTTTGCTCTTGTGGAAGGAGAAGGTTGTGACTGAAAGATGATTTGTGTGGCAAACCAACAGACTCTCCATACTGAAATTTTCCTCCTTCAAGCCCAGATGCTTTTAAGACTTTACAGCGCCGTCTCTCACAAATATGAAAAGGCATATTCTCTCCCTGCAGGCTCCCTGTGCTCCTCATCCATTGATCTATGTACCCCTATTCTTGACTCCAGACTGAAGGCTTCCTTTGTCAGTGATTGATGGCCACCCTCTCACAGGAAGAATGACTAACTCCAACCTGTGAGTATTGGAGGAGCTACGGAATATATCTGCTGTGCTATTTATTTTGGGAGGCGGATGTGTGCCCACATTTTTATTCTTGGAATAAACATTCTGACATTTTCTGGCAGGTGTGAATGCTGTAACATACCAGCAGGCAGAAAAAAACCCTAAAATGACAGCTTCTAACCTCTCTGATGGAAACAAACTGACTGTTACTAATGTGAAAATTGTAAACCCTCACCGGATTTCATATGAATCGTATCACTTGGAAAGCCAAATTTTGATCTTAAGGGTCCCCTGGCAGCCCAAAAGAGATGAATGTTTTTTAAATGGTGCCTACTTACTCTTCAAAACCAAATCCAAACCATAAGACAACTGCATAATGAATTATGTAAATTTGAAACCTCAACCTGATTGTGGCCAACTCATTTTGCCAATAGTCTGAAAAGATTATCCCTAATGTGTAAGTGATAGCATGCAGAACTCCTCTGAAACCTCTTTCAGCTGTTGTCTCTTCAAAAGTGCATTGGTGTAGCTGGCCTGATGCGAAGGGACAATTTCACTTTCTATTTGGTTTAAGATCAGCAAAAATTAGTCTTAATTTTACATTGCTTTATTCCAACACTTGCCTATAAATTTACATAAGAACTTTAGAAACAAATATATAAGAAAACCTGTTACAATAATAGTTCCTTCCACATTATTTAATAAGAGATGTCTTGACTGTGCTGTCTTAGAAGCTAACAGTATATATATATATATACATAAAACATTAAAAATCAGAGATGGAACATATTTTTTTTTACCCTGAATCCCACATATGTGTAATTCTAGATTAAAAATATTAACTATTTTGTTTGTCATTGGTCCATTGAGAGATAATTTCAAATTTCAAATCAAATGAAATCTTGGTGTAGCACAAATCTTCTGGTGTCAACCAGCACAACATACAAGAAATAGGAAAATACAGGAGTCAAAACAGGAAAATGATAATAAATTACATTATATAGGGCAAAATAAAAAGAGTTCTGGATATATTGCAAGAAAGTCTTAGATAAATTAAATTTTTCCCTTAATGATATGCACTTTATTAACAGCTATATCTGCTTCTCTACTACTCAAAGAGCATTTTGGTTGTGAAAAATTGCAGCTTAAAATTTAATCTATCTCATATGAGTCCAGAAATATAGGTCAATAGCTACCCATTTTGGGTAAGTACACACAGAACAATTTGTCCAAGAAAATGTCCATTAAATCATTTCAATGCTTCAACACTACCACAAGAACAGAGTATCCTGAGAAGCTGAGGTTGAGGTATCTAACTGAAGGCATAAAGGACTCTGCCACTAACCTATTTCAGTGCTTCAGAAGTCATTTCACTGCTCTGTGTCTCAGTTCCCCATTTCTGTAACCATCACGCCTTTTCACTGTGACAATCATCAAGACCTGAGTTACAGTTTTTATCACAACAAATATCTGAGGTTTAGTTTGGGGACTGGTGAAATCCTGTTTATATAGCATTTCTGGAACAATACCATTTCCAGAGTGTGTTGCTATTCATATGTGACTGAATAATAAATAATCGATTGTGAATAACTCTGGCTAAGAACAAATGGGCTCATCTCTGCACAGATGCCTTGTTCATAAGCAAATTGTTCATATGCACAAATGTCTGAAAGCACAACTGAGCTGAAAAATATTTAGCATTTGAATGAATGTAGGACTGCCAAACCACAGTGTCAGACCACCAACATTCATGGCATTGGTATAAAATCCAAATATTAAGAAATACTACATTTTTTGTTTCTTTTTATTGGTGTTCTGGTTTTTGAGCTTGACATGATCTTTTTTTTCCATCTTTCCTCAACAACTAGAGCTATTCATAAATGGAATTTCTATCCTCAACACAAAAAACCCCATTAAGTTATTGAAAAGTGTTTTGGAATATAATATCTAAAGAAAAAATAAAAGTAGGTATGAAAACACAGGCATATTTCACTCTGATAACATTGAAATACTTAAATAATTTGAAGTCCAGATTAACTTTTTCAACTTTATTAAAATGGAAAAGTAGAAATTATTTTCTCTAAGAAATAATCATTAATCCTTGATGATGATGATGTATTTTCCAGGAGCAAACCAGACTGGTAAGTATTCTCCTATTTATGTGTATGAGATTTTGAGGTTGATTTTTAAAACTAAAACTGACATTTTCACTTTCATGGTAATAGTCTGTGTAAATCAGAAGAATTTTCCCTACCAGTAGAGATCCATAGCATTGCTGAACCTTCATGTGCTCCATTACTGTGCTTCAGTCTTGCTCTAAGAGAACAATTGCCATGGGGTCAGGTCTAGATAATGCAATGGAGAAGAGCAATGGAGAAGTCCTCTTTCCTTTCCCATTGCCATCATTTACATTAGTGATGTGGCACTGTCTCCCACATTATGTCCACAGGCTGTGCAGCACCTGCTGTCTGTGCTGGTTCTTTTTGGGAGAACTATGCAGCCAGATTTAGGAGATCACAATTTTCTGCCAGGTCACTGGCTCGACTGCATGATACTGGGCACTATTCTGCACTGCCTCTACAACAGCCAGGCACCTTAATAAGTCGTCCTTCACTTTTCAAAGCTACTGGGATAACTTGTTTCAGGACAGCAGCAAGTGTGTGAAATTGTCTTCTCATCAACACTGAATCTGTGCTGCCTATGGAGCCAATGGAGAGAAACATCTACATCTGATCAGAAGGGTTGAACTACAGGAGTTGTACGGGCCTAGATTGTCTTGTTTTGCTGTGTTACCTCTCTCATCTCCTACTCCCCACTTGCATAGGGATCACTTGCACTTGTGATGCCCTGGAGAGTAGAAAGTTTGAGTTACTCTTTGTTCACTTTAATGCAAAATCCATGTTACTGTAAGGTAAGGTATATGGTAAGTCAGGTGTGGGGGCCATCTGCATACATCCTGCTAAGCCTTCATTCTCTCTCTCAAAAAAAATAAATAAATAAAGTAGAAATAATGCTCCTATCCTTTCTTAAGAGTGAACATGCTTGAATACCCTTGCTCTGTCTGTATTCTGCATGTGCTGGAGTGGTAACCTGTTCTTAGAGATTACTGACAAAGGAAGACACCCAGTCTGAAATTCAGAAACATGTGTGTCTAACACTGAAGACAGAGCTCAAGCAATTTTCCCCAGGAATGGGTTATGCCTCTAGCAGTTATTATTGAATACTGTAAAGCAAACATTTATACTGGCTTTTCTTTTGCATCTAGATGAGCTGTGTATTCTCCATGTGCACTACAGTCAGCTAATCTGAATGGAACAAAAACATTTGTTTTTCCTCACATTTCTCTATATACCAAGTCCTTCCAAATAAATATTCAGCTGAAACTTCTTGTGCTGTTAGGGAAGACAAATAAATCAAATTAATGAATTTATTTGAATGCCAGAAAGATCTATCATTTCTGTGTTCTAAGAATATCCCACAAACAATTAAATGTTCGTGAAACAGAGGCAGGACTGATAAAATGATGAGTCTCTCTGGCGCCAGCAATGGGCCTGGCTGAAAGCCAGCAACAGACTTAGCTTTTAAAGCCCTACAGAAAGCATAAGTGACCCCAGAATGGATAACTGAGGAATAGCTTTCCTTAGCTGTTCACCATGCTGAATGTTCCTTTAGTCTTTGGCTTCATTGCCTGGCTCAAACTTGCAGATGAATTACCAGACATATTTTCTGGGTCTTTACAACCCAGCAAAAATTAACCAAATATTTTGATTTTTATTGAATGATTTTTGTCTTTGGAATCAGTGTTTGTCGAACTGATAAAAAGTGGTAAGGTGATGGAGAGCTGAAAATTTCCCAGCACATCAGTGGAAATTATACTGGGTACCATAAAATTTATTTGTTATGCCATCTGTACCATTAGCTCCTTTGGGTCCCAAAAATGGGCCATTCCCCAGTGAAGCAGGAGGCTGAAATGAGCTTCTGCCTTCATTGCCTACTCCAAGTTGTGTTGTGATTTGGCCTGTGGTCAAGGGATCAAGAAATAGAAGAGATTTTCAGGGCAGAATGGATAAAAAATTATCTAGCTTTTGGGATGTACAACCCCCGCTAAACCAATTTGACATACTTTAAACTAGATTTACAGGCTTAAACTTCCTGGTAATGTAAATTATAGTAAGAAATGGGATTGAAGAAGTTCTTTTTTTTCTTTTAAGGAATTCTTAATTGCCCTCTGCTAGCAATGGTACTGTCATTAATGGTAGCTGAAATAAACCAAGATTATTATAGTGTTGCAAAAAGGAAAAAAAATATGACCCAGAGAGGCTGAGGAAATTGCCTTGCAGATACAGATGGGTACTTTGCATCCATTGAAAATCACCCCTAGTAAGAAGGCTTCACTTGTAAATATCCCCAGACTGGTATCAAAAAAATCTTGAATATACGATGTAAACAAAACTCGATATTTTTAATATGTAGAACACATTAATTACACACTTGCCAATTTTAATTTAAAAAGAAAAATCTGTGCTCCACTTACTGAACTGAAACTTTAATCTCATTTGAAATGCTCTAGCCTTAGAGATTAAACTCTTTCTTCTATCTCTTGACTCCCATCCTAATTTCCTTTATTTAAATGGAGCCATCTCCTTCTTTCTCTGCCTTTCCTCAGGAGGGATGCCCTCTGAGTAATGGGCAGGGCAGAGCTTTTGCTGATGCACCCATGTACGTTGGAAATAGAGATGAAACCCTAGCACAGGCTGCAAATGCAGGTTCCTTCTGTAATTCTGTGGGGAAAAAAGTAAAATGTCTAGAGTTGCTGAAAGGATTGCATATCCACTGTAATAGAAAATGGCTGAATAATGTCACCCTTTAATTTTGTGTGACTGGGGCAGCCACCACAAAAGGCGTTAGAGGTATGGACGGTTCGGTTCAAGCAGAGGGAGGTGCAAGCAACCTGGCACTCTGTGGCTCATCCATACTCACAATTAAATTCTCTTGTCTTGAGAATCCTGCCC